GAGAGTGGATGGTGGTCCGCCATCCATTGTCAGCCTATGTTAAGTCTGTCTGATATGCTCTCAGTGTTTGAGCTGCTGTGATATTGGTCGAATACCCCAGCTTCTGTGTTCTGGAATAACCAGGTGCATGGAGACCTGATGAAGTGGCCATCTATCTCTCATAATGGTCTGAGCAGGAATGCCCTCTTCTAGTGCCTATAAATTATTCTTTTCTCAACCTCCATGGAGGTAAGAGTGGGGCATCTACAGAAGAGGAGAGATGGTTGGAGAGAGAATGGGAGTTTTCACCACATTGGAAAAGCTTCCAGGCCTCCCCATCTGTTGATAGAATGTGTCTCCCTTGAAAATTAGATCTTCTTCCGTGTCACCATCATCTCTGTACAGGAGAACTTGTTTGACAAAATGAGTGGCCCCCACGTGACTGGAGTCTAAGATTCTCATTGCATTGATGACCCTCCACCCTGTTTCTTAGATGTTCTTAGATTAAATCTACAGATTTAATTCCTCTTCCTCCTCAATTTCTTCTCCTCCCCCTCCTGCTTTTCCTTTTAAAAATCTGTGCCAATTTCTAATTTATTGTGGGTGGCATGGAGGGAATTCTTCACACTTCATTGGGTCCTGCTTCCCATTTCAGAAGCTCCACAGTTTGTCTCCTGTGTCCCCTCCCCTCCCCTGGCTGCCACCCTGCTCCTGTCCAGTTTTTGTTTCAACTGCTCTGTGGCCAACAGGAACCCTTCCTCTTGGGTTTGAGCCTCTCAGTACCCATTTAAAGTGTTCATGTCTCTATAGTAGTTTTTCCCTCCCAAGACTCTTAAATCTTCATTCTCCCCTTAACTCTAACAGCAGTGTGGTCTGTAAGGCATCGTTAGTCACCACTGTGTGCAGAAGGGAAACTGAGACCCAGACAGCCATGTGGGGCATGGGGCAGAGTCTGGCCTTGCCTGGTGGCTTGCTGCCTGTGGGTCCCTGGAAAATCACAGAGCCTTCCAGGGCTGTGTCCTCACTGGTCGTGTGGGAAAGACCTAAGTAAGATTTCCATGCCCGTAAGGCAGTGCCGTGGTAGAGAGGAAGGGCTTTCCGGCTTCCCGTTCTGGTTCTGTCACTTAGTTCTGTGGTCTGGGACAAACCAGCAGGCCTCAGTTTCCTCACCTGTAACATGGTGATACCAACAGTGACCCCACAGGACTGCTGTGACTATTCGGGTGCTTCTTGGGAAGGCCAGCACCAGGCCTGACCTGTGTTTAGGCCTTCAGGGTGTGGTAGCTGTTCCGTCTCCTCTCCCTTCTGGAACTCGGCTGTTTGTCCAAGGGAACCCCAGCCGTTAGTGGTGGAACTAGAACCCAAGTCTGCTGGCTGCCGGCCCGGAGCCCCCGGGTGGAGCTCCCTGTAAGTCCTGGGGTGGCATCCAGAGAGGGTGGGCCTGGGGCCACCGAGGTGAGACTCGGTGCCCGTTAGCCCTGGTGCAGGGGGACTTCCCGCTGGGAACTCTCAGCACAGTGGCAGGGGACCCATGAGGTCACACACCAAGAAACTGTGAGTCATCGGGACCCCTGCACCCCTGCAAAGCTGCCCTGCAGCCCCAGTGCCAGCTGGGAAATTGTTTCCTGGATTCCTGTTGATTTTCACGTTGAGGAGGAGTATGGCTGTCCCCACACACTGCTGTGTGATAGTAATGCTGACACTTAACCCAGGGCCAGTTGGGAGCCAGGAAATGTGCTCAGTGTAGGACCTGTGCTCTTGCTAATCTCACAGCAAGGAAGGCACTGCTAACTCCATTTTATGAAAGAACCAGGCCAATTGACCAGTGAGGGGCGGGGCCAGATTTGAACCCAGGTCTGCTTGGCCCCAAAGCTCATGTTCTGTGCATGAAATTGTATGACCTTCCGTCGAGTAACATTCACCACGAGGCTTCTCCAGCAGTCATTTAATAATAGAACGCTGGGCTTCCCTGGTGGCGCAGTGGTTGGGAGTCCGCCTGCCAATGCAGGGGACACGGGTTCGTGCCCCGGTCCGGGAAGATCCCACATGTCGTGGAGCGGCTGGGCCCGTGAGCCATGGCCCCTGGGCCTGCGCGTCCGGAGCCTGTGCTCCGCAACGGGAGAGGCCACAACAGTGAGAGGCCCACGTACCGCAAAAAAAAATTAAAAATAATAGAACGCTTGTTCACATCCCAAAACCCACATCCACTGTCAGTCTACGTCAGCCCTGACCAACTAATTTTTACCACGGGTCAAATTGGATTTGGCCAAGTTACCACTGTTGAAGAGAAAAATAGATGAGTCCCAAAACTTGCTATAAAATGGGAGGGAGGATAAGGTGGCCCCTGTGTTGGATGCCTCGTGCCAGCTTAGGAAGAGGGAGAATTAGCTGACATGCACCTTACTTTCCTGGTTCGCCTTAAGTAACTTCTTGGGCACTTTTGGAAAAACCTGCACATCTATAATGCATGGTCTGGATACCATCACAATGGAAGCATGCTGTGAGTCAAGAACCGATTCGGTCCTTATTAAGAGCCTCCTTTCATCGCTAGAATGTGCCGTGTTCCTTCCGTCACAGGAACTTTGCACAGCCTATTCATTGTGCTGGCAACACCTTTTCTTTCTGTCTTTTCCCTCCCGCCCCCACCCTATTTTGTTTCACTAATTTATTCTTAGGGCTCAGATTAAAGACTAGTTCTTTAGGAAAGCACCACTGACCCTTTCCTGTGGCTAGATCTACCCCTGACATATGCTATTATAGCAGTAATCATACTTCTTCAGAGCACCGCTATTATAGTTATTTCTAATTTATTAATGTTGGTTTCCCCACTAGAGGATAAGCTCCATGAAGGCAGGGACCACATTGGTCTCAACTGTTGTATGCCTAGTGGTTTGCACTTGCCTGCTATATACTAGGCGCTCAGTCAACAATGGATGGACCAATGGATGGTTGGATAGATGGCTTGAGCTAGTTAACTTCATTTCCTTTACCTTAACTCCAGCCAATATACTCTTCTTGCAGGAAAGGGGGATTGTAATTGCCTGTTTATATGTCTCCCTTGGGTCTCTTTGAAGAAGAACCCATATTGAGAACACTAGAGTCTAGCCCAGCACCTGATATGTAAAAGTTGGCTGTGTGGTCTAAGCTTAATCTTGCCCATGAGTGATTCCAAGAACTATTGCTCCTGTCGGGGAGCCTGGAGAATTATTTTCCCATGTTGAGAATAAGGATGAAACACTCATGGAAACTGAGGGAAGTCCATCCCTGCTTCCCACCTCGTGCCATGGTTTAGCTTCTTGGTAAGATCTGCTATTGAAGTTGCCAGTTACTCTGTTGACTTATGTATACATAAATAGTTATTCCTGTAACCTTCACTTAGCCAACATTCAGAGATGATAGACAATCTTGGTAACATCACAGACATCGCTTCCAAAGCATTCCCTTGCTATAGGAATGTTTATGATGTGCTTATCGCTAGAATTTCATGAGCAACAAACTCCCAAATTGCAAATGACTTAGCATTTGAAGCAGCGAGTGAGAGTGTATGTGTGTACGCACTTAAAAAAAAAAAAGACTTTGAAAAGGGAATTTTTTTCTTCTACAGAGATATCTTCTACAGTTTAAAATAAGAACTACATAAAAGCTGAGAGTTTAGAGGAATGAGCACTTTCTCTTAAGCGTTCAAATGGGGGAAAATGACTTGTAATCTCTCCCTCAAGTATTAAGGCAATAGGCATTTAAAGGCTTTTTTGGGAGCTGGCTGTCACAGACAAAAGATTTCTCAATTTAAAAAACATCATTTTTATAACGTTAAATGGTAGGAATGAACGCCAGCAGCCCTCTTGACATTTTGGAAATGCTTTATTTTTTGAAACGTCCCAGTCCATTTTAATAGATGACACTTTTGTTCTTCCCATTCCGGGCAGTAGCTTCGGCTGGGGTTGCCATAGTTACAATTGGAAGTTCAAGGTAGAGCAGGACAGGGCTCCAGGCACAACTTCTGACCAGGTTCCCGTGAACCCAGTGTGTTGGTGCCACCACCTCAGACAGCCCCCAGCCACACTTTCCCAAAGTCCCTGCTGTAACTCTCCTTCTTGGAGAGAGACTCTCTGAACAGTCTGAACTATAGTCCAGAGGGTGAATTTGACATCATTTTTATTTCCAACCACCCTCTCTGAACCAAGAGCTCAGCCAGACATCTCAGGAAGGTTGCACTCTTTACAAACGTTTCCTATAGCAATGCTTCTCAGCTGTGGTTTGTGGAATGGTGCTGGTCTGCAAGCTGTTAACCGGTCCACGAGATCAGTACAGAAATTGAGAGGAAGCGCTTAGAAACTCTCATGCCGATTTGACAGAGTAAGCTGTTGAATCATTAAGAAGTAGGCTTGTACTCTATGAATATTTTTGTCATTTCATTTTTCTACCAGTTCCTTTTCTTATATTTTATAAAAGTATTCATCCATGATGGATCAGAAATTAAAAACAAAGAACTGGTCCTTCATAACAAAGAGCTTGAGAAGCCCTGTGCTGTAGCGCTTGTAAGCTGCCTCTGCTCCCTGTGGGACAGGTAGGCTGTTGAATGAACTTGGGGAAATCACAGCATTTACCAAATTATCTTGTAGTGAAACATGTGTATGTCTCTCTCTCTCTTCTCTCTCTCTCTCTGTCTCTCTCTCTCTCTGTCTCTCTCTCTCTCTCTCTCCCTCTCTCTCTCTCTCTGTCTCTCTCTCTCTGTCTCTGTCTCTCTCTCTCTGTCTCTCTCTCTCTCGCTAGGCTGTTGCTTGAAAGCAGGGACTGCATCTGATTCATCTTTGTAGCCTCGTTCCTTAGAGCCCTGCCTGGCACATCGGAGGGCGTGGGAAACATTCGTCCTGCGCCTGTCTGCTCCCCAATGACATGAGAGTGGCTGAGGCCAGCCTCGCGAGCTCCCGCAGCTTCTGGATAGTGTCCTTGGCAGGCTGGTGATGGAGAGCTGGGAGCAGACGATGAAGAAGTGACCTTTCTTTCTCTTTTTCCCACAGAACTAGGCCTCCTCTTCCCACCTGCCCAGCAGCATGAGAGCAGCACGACTGGCCGGCCGCAGGAGAAGCCCCCAGAGCCAGGCCCCCAACCCAACCATCTGCTGCGGAGGCCAAGGTGAGCTTGCCTCCCTTTTCCTAGAAAGTCTCGGCATTTTCATTTGAACTAATTCTCTATGCTTTTGTAATCCCTTGCCATATGCTGGGAAAATGGGGTTTACTGGGACATGGGTAGACTGAAAAAGTACATGTCAGCCTAATGGGGCAAAACGTGCTCATTTCGGCTAATGGAGAGGCCGATGGTGGAGCAGAAAGGACACTGGATTGAGTTTCTGGGGACTGAAGCTCTCATTATTCCTCCACCACCTCCTGAATCTGGGACCTTGGGCAGATCTTTTGGGAATCGGGTATCCAGGGAATTTTGGATGAAGGAATCTCTGGGATAGGATAGAATTGGAAGGATGGTCCACTCATGGTCTGGGACTCCCTGGACAGTCTCCTGTCCCACACAGGGTCATAAAGGGCCTTAGAGGATAAGCCAGGCCAATTCCCGGCCAATGTTGAGCAACGAATTGTTAGAAAATTCTTCCTAATATTGAGACAAATTCTTCCTCTCTGAAATTTCTATCTTCTCTCCTCTGCTCTGCCACATGGACCCACAAAGACTGGGCTTTCAAAGACTCTTCCACATGACCCTCTCTTTGGATTTGGAGATGGCTGTCGTGACTCTGATTTTCTTCTTTGTATAAATTCTCCCTGGAGACTGGCACCACTCACCTTGTCCTCTTGTCCCGTCCATGTTAGAAAGGGCTTCATCACCTCCAGTGTTGGTCCTCAGTGCTCACTCAGCCGGTACCATCCTCAACAGAGAATCCTTCGTTCGCCACTCATTCTTCAGGACATATTAAGAGACCCCTTTGTGATAGTCACTGTACTAGACTCTGGAGATACCTCAGTGAACAAGAAAGACAGGGTCTTTTTCTTTTTTAAGATAAAATAGGTATGGATCCTTGGAGAGAGTTTGAAATAAGCATTGAACCATTTCTGTGTGCTCCTTTTAAATATTTTATCTTTTCAACTTTTTTCTTAAATGTTTTATGAGTGCTGGAAAAAGCGTGTACTCTCTAATTATTAGATATATAGTAGTTTTTTATATATGATCATTAAAATAAGCTAGTTCATTGTGCTGTTCAAATCATCTGTAATATGTCCTTGTCTGTTTTTGTCTGACTAATCTTCTCAATAACACATTATTGAGAGACATGTTAAAAATCTCCCATTGGATTTGTCCATTTCTCCTTGTAGTGCCCAAAATTTTGCTCATGTATAAAATTTTGTATATTTTAAGGCAATGCTGTTTGGTTAGAACAGGTGTATCTTACTGATGAATTGGGATTCATTTCAACCATGTTTATATTTGTTTTTTTTCTGCTCCTTCTTTTTGGTTGAGATGTTTTTCCCTCCTCATTCCATCTTCTGTCTTCTTATTTGGAAGTTATGTGCTCTGTATCTGTTCTTTCAAATGTTTAGCCCATCTATTTTAACAGGCATACTTAACAAAGTCTAAAATTAATCAATGTCTTTACCTGCCTCCCCCAAAACACAAGAACCATAAACTGGTTTAATTCTAACCACTACCTCTCCCAATTTATATACAATTGTTATCCTGTGTTTTCATCCTGTCCTGTTTTTTTCCCTACAATTTAGACATCATTGTTTCATATGATGTGTTTGTATCCACATTCTTATCCATATCTTTTCTCACCATTCTTTCATGAATTGGAGATCATTATCCTTCTGCCTAAAATAAACCCCTTTAGCATTATCCTTTAGTGAGAGTCTGTTGGTGGTAAACTTTCAAGTTGTTTTTGCTTTGGTTTGGTTTGGTTTTTGTTGGCTTGACACTATATTTTGCTCTCAATTTTGAAAGGTAGCTTTACTGGATATTTTCTCTTCGGTCACTGAAACCATTATTCCACTACCTCTGGCTCTGAATGTTGCTGTTGAGAAGTTGGCTGTTGGTCTTCCTTTATAAGTGACCTGGCATTTCACTCTAGTTACATTAAAGATGTTGCTGCTTTCTTTGGTGTTCTGCCACTTCCCTCTCATGTAGCTAGGTGTCAGTTTCTCTGTCTTTATTCTGTTCCGGTTTCATTGGGATTCCTAGAGCTAAAGATGAGTGTCTTTCAACAGTTCTGGAGGATTCTCACCCTTCATTCTTTGAATATTGACTCTTTCCCATTCTTTCTAATAGCTCCTTTTGGAACTCCAGTTAGACATATGGTGGACCTTCTCATTCTGTTCTCCGTATCTCGTAACCTCTATTCCATATTTCTCACCTCTTTGTCCCTCTGTGCTGAACTCTGAATAATATCTTCCAACCTGTCTTCCATTTAATTTATTCTGTGTTTCAAATGCTGTTTAATCCATCCATTGAAATTTTTTCCTTTCAGCTTCTTTATTTATCATTTCTAGAAGTTCTAGAAGTTCATTATTTTTTAAATCTGCTTGGTGATTTTCTCATTTCTTGCTTATATTTGCAAACTTCTTGATTTCTTTAACATATTGAAATTGCTGTTTAGAAATAGTAGAATTTCATGTCTGGTAATTGAGAATCTGAAATCTTTGCAGGTCTGATTCTGCCGTCTGTTGCTTCTGCTGGCTAGTACTCATAATGCCTTGTTTCCTTGTTGTTGTTATTTTCTTTGAGCTGTTCATTTTCCTTAGAACTTTACCTTTGTGAACTGTTTGAGGTATGGCTTGAAGTTAATTTTTCCAGAGACGTTTTGCATTAACTTCTGCTAGTTGTCTGGGAGCACTCCCAATCAAAAATCACTTTAAATTCATTTTCTACCCAAAGCTTTTCTGGCTACATAAGTAGCATGAATTCAAACTGCAAATCTGTGTGAGATCCAGCTTATGGGTTCAGATTTCTATGCAGCCCAAGGTCAGGTTTCCTCGTGGTCTCCTTTTGTGTTGGGGGTCTATTTCTCATTCATTGAGGGTGGGGCCTTTTGAAGTCCCAATTTTTTGAAGGAACTAAGCTTTTTCTCCTGTTTCCTGAACGCTATGCAGCTCTCATGGGAAACTTAGAATCTGTAGGGTTTGGCAGGAACCCTCAGGGCAAAAGCCAGGTTTGCTGCTAGCTTACATCCCAAAGTTCCTGCTTTTGGTTTTGTTTTTGGTCTTCGAAGAATCCTTCCATTCATACCAGTTCAGCAGTGTGTATACAGTCTTTTTATTTTAAATTTTAAACAGCATGTTAAGTTGTTTCAGTTGGGAAGGTCAAGTAGGGTATCTGATCTGCCATATTGCCAGAAGGTCTGTTTTCTTTGTTTTCTACCATAGCCCCATGGGGCAGGAATTACTATTCCTTGTTCACAGAAGAATGAACCAAGGCTCAGAAAGGACACGTAACTGACTGCAGTCACGGGGCTAGCAGGTGATGGACCGGCAAGGAGTATATCCCTCCCCTATCCCCTTTTCCCACCTTTGCTCTCCTCAAAATAACTTAACCAATTTTGGGGGGATTAGCTTTATGCTCACAGAGGATATAAGTTCCTACCAGAATAAATAAATAGTTGGGCAGCTTTGTAAAATTTGTTTATGAATCTATTGTTTATCTTCCTCGAGAGAGGAAATGGCTTCTGCATATTTTGTGGTTTGTTTCTCCTGTGGTCCCCAGCAACCTTCCTGCTTCATTCCCACTTGGCAAAGACCTCCTGGACCTGCAGCCAGATCCCATGTGCACCTCAAGGTTGAGGACAAGACCCCAACTTCCTCTTGTCCTCATGCTCTCTCTCCTTCTTCTCCCTTCCCTTGTGCCTCTTTTCTACACCCCCCAACCCCATCCTTCCTGCTGTTAGTTTTCCTGTCTCCTGTCTGTGTGCCTTTCATCAGAGGGGAGGCCACAGAGCACAGTGGTTAGACGTTTTGGGCTTGGGGGCAGGAGAAAGAGCTGAGTTTGAACCTAGCTCTGCCTCTCACTAGCTTCGTCTCTCTGAGCTTCCATTTCTTCATCTGCAACATGGGGACCACAGGCAAAGTGTTCACGGTTGAAATGAGATGATGTATGTATGTGGAGCTTGTAACAGGAGCTTGGAGCATCACAAGCACCCAGTCTGTGGTACTCAACACCATCATGACTAAGAATAGACCCCTTCAAGACTCGCACCCTTGTTCAGTGATGCTCTCATGCTGGCAGAGCTGGTTTATGAAATGTGATGGAAATGGAGGCAGGAGTCTAGGGTCAATGTGGGATTCCCAGCCCCGCTGGGGTGCTTTTAAAAATAATCAGAGGGAAAGCAGAACACACTGGTCTGGCCAATGTTTGCACAGGCTATAAACCACGGGTTCTAGAAATGTTCATCCCTAGAGATGGGGCATCTCAGCATCTCAGCCCTCCCTCCAAGCTATTCCTTCTGTCTTAGAACCATGAGAGCTCTGGAACCTCATGACATCACTCGCTGGGGAGTTGTCCCTGTGGTGCCCACAGCCCGGTCAGTGGATGGCACACCGACTCTGCTGGACACGTGTCCAGAAGGGGCAGGATGGGTGGTCTCCACTGTCCATTTGACTTCCATTCTTAAAGCTGACATGACTGCTTATAAACACACACTCCCTGCTCATAAGTAAGTGACTTTATATTACACTCAGATTTGTGTCACTTCCTGATTTGATATCTATCAGGCAACAGCTTTTTTAGCACCTGCTATTTGTAGTGACTCTGGGCTTTGTACAGTGGGCAAGTGTTATGAAAAATGCATAGAGTTGCTATGACCCTAAAACTACTCTGAAAAATAGTCTATTCATTTAAGAAGACTTTATGACCAAAAAATGCATAAAGGATAAAACTCCTTCACAAGATTAAGTGCCAGGTATTCAGAATAGGTTTCCAGGGGGGACAGCACTGTGCCTTCGAGTGCTCAGGGAAGACTTCCTGGGGAAGGCTAGGAAGGGGAAGGCTAGGAAGAAGATTGGGGCTGGCCCCGTGGGGCAGGTAGGGTGAGGTGGCTGGAAAAGGAACCTTGTACATTGGGGGTGTCGAAGTGGTGTGAACTGAGGTTTAGAGATGGGCATTCTCTTGAGCTAGTGAGACCCAGTGCAGTGCTTCTAGCC